GAGAGAGAGAGAGAGAGAGAGAGAGAGAGAGAGAGAGAGAGAGAGAGAGAGAGTAAGAGAGAGAAAAAGAGAAGAAACACACAGTAAGAACATGGTCTTATGTTTCTACAGATGGTCAAACACATGTTTCTAAACTATTTTAACCGGAACAAACAAACAATAGCAACAATTTATCTGCATTATTCGTTCTCGTTGGTTGGAGACAGAGAGCGGAAAAAGCGAAACTAAACTTGAGACAGCCTATCTTGACGACGACGATGTCTTGAACGAATGTCACAACCGAAGTGGAAGTAAATCGCTGTGCAAAAGATCAACACAAACAATGTTGCCACCGCTTCGTAAATAGGTACAACAGTTTTACTGGAAAGTGAACTAAATTTTGTTTCACAACTTCAACATTGAAGTCAATGAACAATGTCCAAACGTAATAGTTTGAGATTGAATGGATCGGGGAGAGGGAGAGTAAGAGTGTGAGAGAGAAATAGAAACTAAACAAAAGTGGTTGAAACTTTTTAAAATTTTTCGTAAGATGTCTGTTCGGACCAAATCTGTTAAGATCGATTCACGTTGGGAAATGCAATCGAAATGAGGTGGCAGTGGCAGCAGCAGCGGCAGCAGTGAAAGCAAAGAAAAAACAACGAACGAACAAAGAAAAAAAACACGGAAAAAAACTTTTCGATTGCAAGAAGTTCGTGTACTCAAAAATTGTATGGGAACGTATGCTGGAGTATAACAAAGACACAGCCACGGGCGAACTTATTCAGCTGGAGGATTGCATGAGGGAAAAATTAAATTGGAAATCATGACTGTATTTCAAAGTTGTCAACAGCGCAGCACTCTTAATAAGAATCGATTACCTCGAGCAGTGTCTTAAGTTGTAAGTTGAAAGTGGTACCACCACTCATGCCACTGCTGCTACTATACTGCCATTGTTGCTGCTTCTGCAATCGGATCGCTGGAGGCAATCGCAATAATAGTGATTTGATGACAAAAACCCGAAAGAAAATTGATTTTAAACTCATGTTTTTTTACCGCCTCGCAATCGCATTTTCTCTGGGTGTGATAAATTACGATGTGGTAATTAAATTCCCAGATTTCTGGCGGATGATTGGTTCTGCTGATGATATGCTGGTGTATCTACGGAACACACTTACCTTGAATAAATTTTAGGTGAAATACTAAAATAAATACGGCTATTCCATTCGAAATGTACATCAAGATTCGTGCGAGTGTGCTCACTATCAGAATATTGTGTTGTATGAATCGGCTGCGAGCGCCGATTAGCACGTATCGCTTTGACCCGATGGATATTTATCCAATTAGTGGGTGTGTTGGTACAGCGACGAAGACAACGATGATGACGACAGCGATGTCGACTATTTGCGACGGTGCTATGATAACGACGACAACGAGTGTGTGGCCTCAACAATGCCTGATTCTTATCGTGGTGATGGTGATGATGATGCTGGTAATTTGACGATGACAATTTTTTCCGCCAATTCAATTCGTTCACACTAAATGGATCGTTGTGATTTTGCACAAATTGTCTATGTCTCATATGATTATCACTGATGCTGTCGCTTGCAATTATTTTTATTATTGTCGATGACGTTGTTGTTCTTCGCACACACTCACACATCATAGTTTCGCACAGTTATTTGCCGCACCGTTTCGTTGTTGTTATGTTTGTATTTCATATTTTTTGCTAGTTTGGCCATGTAATTAGATGTGCTTGTACGAAATTCAATTGAGATATAATTCGATGCAGTTGTTTCTTTCCCTTCCTTTCTCCCCCTTTCTATCCTATCTTTCTTTCACTCTCGGATTTTTTTTCCTTCTGTTCGATTGTCGATAGAACTTTGTGTACGGAAGAAGTCACAAAACAGCACACAGTGCTTTAATTGGCCAACAACGTTATTTTCGACACGTATAAACTTTGATAAACGAAGTACACGACCGAACATTCACCACCAATTATTGTTTTCTATCATTGCAATCGCAGTGTGTTGTCGTCGTTGTCGTCGTCGTTGTTGCCGCACGTTAAATATATTTTCTGGTGTATTCAGGTGCAAATAAATTGATGACCGTAACGAATGACCGGCAACAAAACAACCAGGAGTTTTCACCATCAACAACAACAACAACATAAAATAACAGACTCACACCGATTGCAAATTGTTTTTGCTGCGTAAAGATTGGTATCACATCTAACAATGGCTAGAACCACTGCGAGTTGGTGAGAGGCAAACACACACGTGAGCACACGGGCAATCCGTAATTGGCGCACTATGCCATGCAATGGGAAATATTTGTCTACTGAACGTGCGTTATGTTAACGTTACAAGCGCCGCGTTACGAGTTCAAACACAACACAATTCAATTTCAGTGTCGGTTCGGTTTGGTTTGGTTCGTGTGCTTTTTTCCCCGATTCTTTTTTGCGTTGGCTATTGGTATTTTATCGTAGCACGGAAACAATATTGTTTAATGATTGCCGCGACACGTTCAATGCAAACATTCGCCGTACAATCGTTGTAAAAGCAATTGGTCACCACCACGACATGTGTCCAAGTTCATGTTTTTTTTTCCTTTCTTTCCTGCTCCCACACACTCGCGCGCACACACTCTTCACGGTGCAAACTCTGCCTTCGGTCTATATATCAGCGCTTTTTATGTGCGCTGCGTACCTAATTTTATGACAATGTTAGCAGAGCGAAAAGTAGTGGTTTTGCTGAAACAACCAACAACAATCGTACTCAACACTCGACACTGTCATTATTTTTATAAGTCCAGTGAGAGCTTTTTGTTCACTTAGTTTATTATTACTTATAACACTTTTTACGGAGGCAAGATGAATCTTCACTTTTTATGTTATGTTCCGCCTTCTTGGACAGTTTTTATGGTCAATCGACTTCTTTTTTATTCCCTGGGTTTTGCTTCTGTTTTTATTGACGCCACTCAGTGAATGACATTCGATTCGTTGAAGAAAATCGCTTCTAATGACGACAATATAATGATAATGTGATTAAAATATCAATAAAGCCACCATACGATTATACCTGACTGAAATGAGCAAAAGACTCGCTGCGAAAAATTGTGTTCAGTTAAAATTCAATGCGCTTCACTTGGTTTCATTCATAAAATTGTGTGTTTCCATGCAGAAGGCTACATTAGCCGTCATTAAATGTGAAAAGTGATTTTTGTGACGTGAACAAACGCGCGCGCATTCGGACGTGTCTGTTACTCTACAGCGTCAGTCAACGAAGAATTGCTCGAGAAAAATCAAGCCAATATTCGCAGACAATGAGTGATATTTCATTAAAATATTTTGCATTTTTCATTGTGAAACGCACGATGTCAGAAGCGCAATACTACAACGTCGTATCGCCACCACCACCGCAACAACTGGTGAGTGTACGGAATGTCATTAATCATGAAACGATGCAAAAGCACCAACAAGTAAATGATGATTTGCATCGAAATGTGATCGCTGTAATTGTATTCAGACGGCGTGTTTTTTTCCCTTCCCTTCGGTTCGTCTATGTAATACATTCGTGTCGGTCTGTCAAATGTCGAGACAAAAGCAGATGAGACGCATAAAGAATCTCTAAATTGACTCTGCTACAGACGGCAGGTGGTACTACTGCCGTCGACGAAGACGACGACGAAGGCGACGGGAGACACACGAAAGATAAAGAACGAAAATAGCTTTAAAAAGTCACGCACAAATATAAATAATTTTCAATGATGATTTGTTATCTTTGGCAATTGCCTTGCACAACTTTGGCTAATGGGTCACTGCGGATGTTGGAGCAAATAATGAATAAAAATTATAATTCCAATGCTCTCGAGAAATTATTCAATAAGTCACCCGAATGACAGGTGTTGAACCCATATCTACTCCACAAAAAAATCGATATCGACCATTATAGACCATTGGAGTCTATAATAATTTTTTTTTTTTCAAGGTAATTAAATTATTGGTGGAAAAACATTTGGGAAAACATCGAAATGTGATGGAGTTTCTTTAAAAATCCATAATTAAAATGTTTTTGAAACGAAAAAACAAGAAAATGTCAATAGAAATAGAGTCTAATGGTTCCTCCATAATGGAAAAATTATAGTGAATATGTAAGTTTTAAAACGAAATACACCATCATTTCCAACTATAAGAATAAGAACAAAATAACTATGGAAAATAGATGAAGGTGGAGAGAAAAATACGGAAAATAACATGAAATTAAATCAAGAAAAAGACGAAAGAATTAACTGTATAAGAAGGAAGTATGTTCCATTTTTTCAAAGCGGACGTATAGCACATTAAAAATTTACATATGTCGAGCGACTGTGTTGTCGTTTCTTCGTGTTTGAGTGTCACATAGAGTATCACCACTAAAAAATGTTGTTCACAATTGCCATCACAAGAGTGAAATTGGTGTCATTTAAATATTATTGGATAGAGGCGATGAATATTCAAGTTTTAATGCCACAACAAAAATAAATGGACAGGTTTGATTTTAAAACCGAAGTTGGATGAAAACTCACATTTTTCAAAGAGTTACATTTTCTAACTACTTCTAAGCAATATTCAGTAAAATGTAGTACGTTTGCCTGTGAGTCATTTGGCTCCAGATACTCAAGCCTTCTAATCGCATTTGCACCATTTTATTTTCAGGTTTCTCAGCGAATTTAACTTTCAATCGGGTTTTTCGAGCGTGATTTAATTTCTTGTACGCCTGCCTATATCACATTGAGCATGAAGCAATTAAGTAGCTTGCGGCGTTAATCAAAAAAGCACTTGGGCAAATTGGAATCAATCAGTTCCTTACTACCGATACACGCACATCACTTGATGAGTTGGGTTCGTTTGCAGTCGGCAGCTTTCATTTGCCAAACGTGTGTTGTTAATACATCCGAAAACACTCGGCGCTTGATTGGCTTGAAGTGTTCAACGAATATTCGGCATATAATTCATCTCAAACACAATGTGTTCCCGGATAGTGTTCTCGATTTTAATTTCCTGAGTCTCGGTTCGAGAGGCAAAGACAGAGAGTTGAATGTCGAAGGTGATGTGCACTGCACATAGGTACTATGTGGGTAAATGGAAATCGGCACCATTGATGGAATTAAGTGAAGGTTGGTGTGTATTCGGCATTCAAAGAGATACATACTTCACATTTCACACATTGTACCGTCAATTTGGGTTTCGATTCGCTGGTATAAAAGACAATACATATGTGTTTCTATACATGCTCAATGAACCAAATATGATTTCATTTTTAGTTTTGTGGCAACAGGTAAAATGCACCGATATATTATGCAATGATCCCTATCGAATCACCTTTACGGTGGATCAAATGTCAACCAACGGATATGTTCACAGTTACTCATCGAGAAAAAAAAACTGTGCACAATCTCATTCACCATATTTTGTCCAATGGTCTCTGCATCATTTTTCATTTCTTTTTTTTTTCTTTCGAAAATTTATACGCAAACCCAACAAATTGTTTATGCTTCTTATGTAACTATGGATAAAATGTTATGACTTATTTATCACCAGGAAAAAATTTCATATACACTTTTTCGCTCGTCATAGAAAAACCAGAAGGAAAGAAAATAAAATTGAACACAATTTTTCATAATCCCTAACCGCTTTTCGTTTTCGAATAAATTGCAATTTGTAAATCTCCACTAACGCAACAAATTTGTTTGAACAAATTTTTTTTTTCTCATACGAATAAATTTCACCGCACTAAATCGATTTTGAATAGATTCTCTTTGCTCTTGCTGTTTTATTTCATCTGCTTCAAACTTCGTGTCGACACTTACAAGTACACACAGAATATCGGTTTAATTGAGCTCAACTCGAAAAAGAGAGCGAAAGCACAGCAACGGTGGATTTGATGTGAATGGTACGCTGTCACATTCACGACTGGCCGGACTGAAGCCGTGTAGTTTAACTTTTCACATATATCACGGGCTCTTATGCTCTTATTTTTCCTGTTCTTGTGTTTCTTTTGCACCAACCATCCAATTTGTACGATGTTTTCTCGAAACTCCAGCTTCACTGTAACGTACAATAACAACAGCAGCAGCTGTATCGATGCTGCACCGAAGGGGAAGTGTCAGCTTTGTATTGTGTGTGCTTAAACTGAAAACGCTCCATCCACATGGCGCACTGGAAACGAGTTCCACACACTTCATTGGAAGTGAGTGGAATCGTTTATTCTCCTTCGTAAACGCGCGTCCCTTTCAACTGTTTACCTCTTGGTCGAATCGAAATTGGTATTTTGGACACGTATACGTGAAGAAAGCATCAACTCCACCGGCGATTCGGCAACTTATATTAAGGTATTTTTAGCAACTGACACCTAGCCCAAGTTTTATTTCATTGTGGCACAGAGGGTAAAGTGAACAACAACGTCGTCGTTATATTGCGCGCATAACGCATAGCGTATTTTAACCCTTTTTGTAAATCTCACGCACAAAATGCTATTTATAGATTCATTCACGAGAAATTTGTCCAAATTTGCTGTTCTGTATCTGCCAATTGAAAATTGGCTTGAATTTAAATGAGTTTTTTCTTCTTCTCTTTGCTCAGTGTTCAGGCGGAGAAGGAGGATGAGTTGTGAGAATGGCAGGAAGAATCTGTCAATTCTGCAGTTTGTTATTAAATTCCGTTGCGTGACCTTTGCTGGTATTTTATCGAATCACAATATACGTCAACCGATGTATAAATATATTTATTTCGTAGCAATCTCTCGATGCACATAAACTAACCATCTAGCTAACCATGAGGATAGCAAGCTTTGTTGATTTTCACCCAGTTTTCTCGAGCTCTGCAACTTCAAAAACTAAACTTATTCGCAAAACAGCGCTTTTTACTCTTTGATTACATAGAAAGTACTTTCACTATGGATTTTCCGCCCTGAATACAGTACATCTGCAACAAAAGTTTATTTACTTACAATTTTAGTGCATTTACAACTTCGACCGACCACCATGAATCGATCTCAACTTATTTTTCGTCAATTTTCCCGACCGCAGTCACTATTTTGCAGCCCGCAAGCCCTTCACAGGCACCCAGACTACCGCATTCAGAAGTAAATTTTCATGTAATTCGATTGAAATGCAGTAACACACTAATGCAATCCAATTGAAATTTTTGATATTAACTCGGGCGACATGCAATCGCCGATGCACCTACAATCAATCATGACGATGCACATCTCTGGAGTTTAGTTCAGCATTGTATTCCATCAATGTCGCAAATAAGCGGTTTCGATATGTGTAATTTTGATGCAAAATTAGTTTTCCATTCGAATTTAAAATCAAATTATTCACTTTTTCCTACATTTCTACGTGTTTCTTCTTCGTATTGATAAAAGTGGCAAAGTTTTTGAATGAACAAATCAACACGGTAAATATCCAATCCAAATTTTAAATCGTCGCGAGACTTTGATGAATCATGTTAGCTTTTGACATAATTAAGCAATGATGTCTACAACTTTTGAGACAAACTAAATATTTATCGATTTGAATTATGTGCGGATATCGATGTGTCTGTTTTGATTAGCGAAAAGCGTGTTTATATTGGCAAATATTTTGAATCGGCAAACATTTACCAAACCGTAGTACATATCTGGATATTAACCGATAATCTCTTTAGCGTAGTCATGGCGCGTCAATTTCATCATTCAATTCAGTCATCTATCTAATTAGAGTGCCGATGTGTCTTGTGTGTTTGTGTGATGCTGAAGTATCAAATAGTCATACGTTTGATTTATGTGTGTGTCCCTTTCCTCACTCCACCAGAAGCTATATCGCGTCAACGAGACAACTCATTCAGTTTCATTTTCTAGGGAGACAAAACAGCCGCAACACTAATTGATGGATGTCTCGCGCACTCACTCACCCCCACACAGACAAAATGTGACACATAAACGACAAGCACACGTGGTATGGTGTTGGATGCTACTGAGATAAGGGATATCGGTGAATGACTGCGGTGCGACGACAGATTATCGCAGGTTTTGTAAGGCCTCACGATGTATAGGCATCGTTCGATTTGTTTTTGAGCTTTCCATTCTGAATAACGACACCAGCCCATTCTCGGCTCTGATGAATAATTGCGACAAATGCGAGACTTAAGATGACGCCCGACGCTTTTTTTTCTCGGCTTTTTCTATCGCGCTTTGACTAACTACCGAAATAATGTTGTGCTTATGAGAATTTATGGTTGTATGTAGCGCAGCCATTAGTGATGATTTTGAGAGGTGCAAGTACGTTTGTCGACGCTTTTGAGGGCCTATCTGCCGTTGACGCCGTTGCTGCTGCTGATAACTTAGCATTTAAGCAAATGGGCGCATTTATTTATGTAGATTGTAATATTAAATATTCATTTAGTTCGACGATATATATTAGCGATATATTGGCGTTTTTCTACATTTTTTTTTCTTCATTTCCTCTCTCTCTCCACCGTTTTCATGGCAGTATTTTTGCTCAACATGCAACACCACCACCCATTAGATTCATTGGATGTGGCACATTCGGTTTGGAACGGGCGAATATTTCATGCTTTCTAAAATGTTTTATCCATGTTCAGTTTTTTCGTGTATTTGTGCTCTCGCCGAATGGCGATGTGAGTATTTTGTTTATCGCACCGCTCCTATGTAGTCTCATTTTTCAGCATTTTCGATAGAAACTTCATTTACATTACAAATTGTTTTAAGCGTTGCTTTTTCGTTTTTCTCTCTCTAGTTCTGTTTTGCTCTCCTGAAATTTAAAACATAGCATCACCATTCCCTATGCCATGAATGAAATTCCAACTCGAAACGCAAACTTTCTCACGCAATTATGAATAGCATGTTGCATGCATAAAATAACTAGAATCATAATGCACACACACATATTGCTGAATTGGCAAAAGTTGTTAAATTTTCATCTCTTTTTTTCTCTCTCTCTCGCTAGAAGCTGCAATCTGTTCACTGGCGCTCTTGCACTGTGTACTATACACACAGCCATAAAGTCTCTTGTCTTTATCAAAACACTGGTTCAGATTTACAGTGGTTTTACCACTGCTGCACTGTGTTTCGCTTAGCGTGCTCACTGCTCACCCACCCGCTCGCTCCAAAACGCACTCGTTCCGTTCTTTTTAAAATCGAGCAACGAAAAAGTGAATTAACATTGCTCTAATTAAATAGTTTCTGGCAGACGAAATATGCGTTACATAACACCCAACGGAAGTTATAAACAACGAAACAAAACATAGCCAAAACGCAGCAGCGAAAATTAGCGAAATGAATGCATAGTACACAGCGAAAATTTTACTCACCGCGCGATTTCTTGTTCGTTTTTTTTTCTCTACTCTTTCGTTCTTCAATTGAACATTGCTCGAGCCAGCTCAAAAAAACCAAAATGAATACGAGGCTACCGACAGAGAGGAGAAAAAAACTACTTGTATGGAAGTATTCTGCTGGAAAGAGCCATAAAAGTTTTATGTTGACTACTTGCCAAAGAGAAATGTGCTGATAAGCGCACTTTTTGCCATTCAAAAGGAAAACTTTTGTTACAACATTCCTAGTTTTATGTTTATCACACGTCCTGTAGCCCATTAACTTATTTACATAAAGGTAGCGCTTTTGTTTGGAATCGCAAGAAGAAGACGAAGAAAAAAAACTTTCATCATAAGACAGGAAACTCTTTAAAAGAATAAATTCGAAACATTTTTCTCTCGGAGTAGGAGAAAACCCACACAATTTCGAAGAAATAACGCGCAAACTACAACATAACATGAAAATATTCCCATAATTTTGATAAGAGAATATATTTCCCTAGCAACTCTGTCGATTTTGAGGGAAAGATCTATGCTCGTAAGCCATTGAGTCTTTCATCTCAGCCAATTTTCGGACAAAATGTATGCTCAAAACAACCTATTCGAATGAATGTTTCATTTTCATACCATAATACTAGTACTACTGAATAATGCAATATTCAAAGTTTAATTTGAAGCGCATAACGTCAGTTTAATATGTTTCATTATTTAAAGAACGGAATTTAATTTATCCATTGTAATAAATGCATAGTTTGTGAATATGTAAATGGGAATTTCAGAGTTCTGAATGGGAATTTTCGGTGAATAACTCAAATTGTTCTCACATTTGCTACTTGACCGTTTATTGTTTCCGAATTGAATAACATTTGTTTAAACCATTTTTGACTTTTGTTTCTCTTTTTTGGACATTTGTTCAGTAAGGCAGTATTTATTTAAAGTAATTGACCATTTTGCAGTAGTTCTTCGTTAATGTTTCTATCTCTCAGTGAGAGATTCTCTCACTCTTGCTGTTTTTCACTTTATCTATCTATCGCTACTCGCTTTTCACCTCCCTACTTTTTCTTCTTTTTTTCCTTTACCTCTGTTGCTCTCTTTCGCTTCCTTTCGATTTCTCTCTCGCTCTCTCCGTTACCCTTTCCTTACCTCTCTAGATCTTTTTCGTTCTCTTGCCCTCAACAGGCATAGAGCCTTTAACACTGTATAAAGAACAGAAGCCAAAAAAGTATTAAACACTAAAAAAAAGCCAATTTAAAAAGACACTTGCCTGTTACACGACGAGTTGATTTTGTTATGGAAAAAACATGCTTTAGTACAAAACAACAAGCACTCGAGTATAAAAGTGTGATAATTTATTAAAATGATTGTTGTTGATTTTTGAATATTTATGATGATAGAGCTTAAAATGAAAAGAAATTAACAACTTTTCGAAAGTCATAAATTACCGAATTAAATGTGCGTATGAAAAAGTGCTTTTTGATGGTGTAATCGTACAATTTGGCAGACAACAGAGACAAGAGGCTTGGCAAATTTCATATATATTTATCTTATTCTAATTACGAAAAATTCAAATATGTCCTGCATTTTCCAATTAATCATGGGCAATCTGTATGAGTGTGTAATACGTTGATCTGGGATAATGGATGGAAATGTCAATTTCTTTCCCCTTTTTAGTGGTAGCTGTGTCGTTGAGTGTTGTCATTACACACGTGTCTGCACGCATGATGATAAATTAGTGGGAATAACATGCGAAAAAGGGCCAGCATCATCGAGATCATCATTATAAATTAATTGGTCGGATGTCGCGTGTAATTTGTTTACATTCCGAAACGGCATACGAAAAATTCAATCAATAACCAAGAGTAACAGCAGCAGCCGTTTCAATGGAATCAAAGCAAAGAAATGGTAGCATTTATGGGTGGCGTTTAAGTTTTTATTGTGAAAGCAAGACATCATCAACATTTGATTCTAGCACAGTTTGTTTTAATAATTCACTCTGGCTGAAATAACAAGAGTCGCACAGATTGATTGATTTCAAGCGATGTGTGTTCATCCAGATCGCACAGTTCTCATGGGTTATGATACAAAAACATCTATAAACAAACAATAAATGTTGCTTGTTCCAGGAATTCAATTATTTTCTTCACAAGAATACCCAACGGCAATTGAATACCGTTGCTCAATGGGGTTTTTTTTGTGTGCCGACATACTACGTGACTGGGTTGGTGTGAGTATCGTGTATGTATATTTTGACCGACATTTTATTCGATACGCAATAACTGGGCATATTCATCGTAGACACACAATGTTGACAAACGAACAAACTCCACGTGACATACCCTTGCCATTGTTCGATACATCTGTGATGTGTACTCTTTTATGGCCGTTTATTGTTCTGTGTAATTTGATAAATAAATGCTTCAATCAACAATCAATGATGAATCAAACAAATTATTTGTTATTAATTGCAATGTTTACGTTTATTTGTAATAAAAATAGACCACAGTTCGCAGAATATTGGGCTTACCTCACGCTGATTGTATAACACACAATTCCTGGAACTCTTGCGAAATAGTAATTCCACGAATATTTCGACACAAGCGCATTGAACTCACGTGCAACTTTATTTATTCTGCTTTTGCTATTGTGTATCATTGTTGGCAAACAAAGGACACTCGAAACACACACACACATTTTTGCTTCCTCGTTATTTAATTATAGCAAAGATGATGTGATGTTTTCGAAAAATGCTTGAGGCATTTTTTCGGGGCATAAAAAATGGACACACTTGGAAGCAGCAACTTTGGTGAAACATCAGAGGGTTCATAGTGTTTGAGCCTTATCACAAAAGCAAAAGTACATTCGTACAATTTCAATGACGCGCCTCAAAATGTCTACTTTTTAATCTGTTTTTGGAGCGACATTTCGAACGAATGAGCCCAATATATTTCGTTTGAAGTTTGTCAGGCAAATATTTTTAAGTTATAATGAGATATTTACAACCGTTTTTTTTTTTAAATTGTCAAACGATATTGAATTTCTTTTCTTTCTCACTTTCGGATGGAGAAGAATGAAGGGTTTGGTCGGATGCTGTGTGAAATATTGTCGAGCTTCTTCCGGAACATTGTACCTTTTTTTTCCAACACAAACAACAGATAAGGTAAACAAAGCTGTAGATTGTAGAATGTTGCACAACTAGTGATGTAAAACCGTATTTCGAAGCAGAAAAAATGGCGGTTTTTCTTCTTTTGACAAAAACTTTTCACTTCATTCATTATAGAAAAAGCAAAATTTTCTTTCAATTTTCTCGTCATGTTTCTGGGAAACTTGGCTACGAAGCATTTCATGCTGATTTTACGGCGGAAAATGTGTTTTCCGTTCGCACGAACAGTTTTAGTGTAAAATCCTTTCATTAAATTAAGTTGAACTTTAATTAATTAGGTTTTACTTTCAATGGTCGCATGAGCTCCTGTCGAGTTTTCGGAGGTTGGCGTCGTCAAACTTTTGGCCAAAGGGAATCAATGTTTAATGAAAATCCTCCTAAAAATTGTCGTAATCCATACAGAGAGAGAGAGAGAGAGAGAGAGAGAGAGAGCGATGATTGTTTCTAGGAATTTTGAATGAATACCAAGAAAGCCAAGTGTTCTCACTCAAAATTTCATTATGTTCAAAGCCTACGAGCGCGACATCAATCCATATGTGGGTTGTTATTAAGTGTTCCTAATTATTGCAGGTAATGAGTGTTGTAAATAAATCAAAAACAGCAACGAAAATTTTCGGCTGGTTAAAACTTCATCAATTTTCGTGTCAAAAAAGCACGCATCAATTTATTATCGAATTAAAATCACTTCAAATCATCGGAAACGGTACGTAACAGAGGCGATGATGAAAAAGACAAAAATCATTTTTCGTCACGCTTTTTTAATTAATATTATCATAGAGCGTTCCATAAATTTCCCTGGACTTCTTAATTAAATACCTTTGGTGCGATCGCCCGCTTGCTGTGTCTATACAAAAGAGGAATGAACAGCCAACTCTGAATTCGAGTGCTATATTTCATTATGACTTCGTCTTTGCGGTCGCCCCAAATAAATTACTACCGAAATGAATTGAAGCAGCTTGTTCTCAACGTTCACAAAACTGGCCGAAGCAGTTATTTTCAGCATGGCCTCTGCATCTGCGCGATCGATGCAACCGACCATTTAATGCACAATTCTGTAGCGTTTTCATTCAAAGTAAATATTGAACAATCTGAAATAATTACTTACATCAGTTAATGTCGTTAATTATTACAGACGAAAACGCATTTTGTGACTTTGATTAGTGACTCGCATTTGAAGTTCACTTCACTCGAAACTTTTGCCATTTTGTGTATTTTATGTGAAAATCTGTTGTTATAACAACACGATAAGCATGAGACATTTTGTACCAAGATTTATTCCGACTGGCTACAGCCAGGTCGACATAAGCGCCTTTGCTCAGGTGGATAAGAGTTCAACGATTTTCACGTCTCGCCGCTTCATTATGATGAATGCTCCACTCATTTTTTCACTCCCGCTAAAACATTACGAATTTCATTGTTGTGCTGGAACTTCATACCATCATTGTGAACATGGCATTTGCTTTGGTGCAAACCGCCAATCGTTTTTTTTTAAACTGAAATATAAATTTTCGTAATGAAAATGGTTTCAATTATATAATTTTCACTAAATGGTTATTACAAGCCATTATGCATTTTTGAAATGCAATCCCATTACAGTTATGTTTACATTTTAAGCGTTTGAGGGAGAGAAAGAAAAATGTGAGTGGAATCAATGTTAACGAATCTGTTTATTGGCTACTGGAATAATTTTTGATCATAAACATTATTTGAAATGACCCGTTTTTATTCGATGCAATACATTGTTATGCATAAAACGCCCAAACGATAATGGAATTTTGTGTTTGCTTTCAATTAGACACAAGCATCGAACAACAATTTTCGAATCGATTAATTTTGTTATTAACTCGATTCTGTTTGAACAAATGAAATAAACTAAATCATATTTGAAATTGACTGATATCACACAATTGCTTTGTATTTGAGTTATTCGTTCATCGATAAATGGTGTAATTAAAGGGCCAAATGAAGCCAACCGAGTGTAAAGGAATCTAAAACAAATTATCAAAACTTTACTTGTTGCCTTTTTAACTAACTAAAAATTGTTGTTTTTTTTAGATTTAATTCAAAATCAATTCATTCATTAGGAAATTGGTAAAACAGCTAGTAGAACATCTACTAGTGGAAGAAATTGGATTTAATACGATAAATTTTGTGGAACAAATTTTGAACACAATTTCTCTGTCGCTTGTTTACAATTTAATGGAATTGAAATGTACTAATAAATAGTTAGAATGATTCAAAGAAGGACGACTGAACGTATCCATTTATCTAAACAATGAACCGTGAATATTTACGACCTTTTGCTCCTAATTCTCTTATTTTGTACAATGATGTTCGCGGCGAGTTACGTCCTATAATTTGGCCAGATATTAGGTCGATATTGGCGGTTCCAACGGGTACAAATAAAATGTCTCTTTTTGGTCCGCCAAAGGTAACAGAACCAACTAAGTTGAATGGCATTTGAGCGATTGGATTGCCACTTGAAGTTCTGAAAAGCAGCAATTAATTAAAAGTGCATTGTGATAAAAATTAATTTATTTAAAGCGGCAACAATTTTAATTTCATCTTTTCAATTCTACCTTGGATCAATTTTCCAAATCGACCCATCTGAATAGAGAGCAGTGTATAAAAAGCCATCAGCATCTGCTTCTAATCCAATTGGACTGGTGTCAGGGGCCTTGTAGCCTGCAATAATTGGGATAATTTTCATTCGAAGCAAGTTGTTTTTATATTTAGCGGAGCTGTGTCTCTCATTTTTTTCACCCACCCAAGCTATGAAAGTCAAATAATGCACGACCATTGCCTGAAACGAAATAAATGTGGATAGAAACTTGAAATCAAATTGAAACTCGTGCTGAGCGAAAAAATTTACAAATATCTCCGTTTGCGTCTCCTTGAAAAGCGGTGATGAGTAGTTTGCAAGAGCCGATATGATAAACGTAGCCACTATCTTCGTCGAATGCTACGCCAGTTGTAACTTGTGGGCCGGTAAAAAGAAGTCGTAGGCCTTTCTCTTTAGAGTACATATAAAATGAAGAATTTGATGGGCCGCCACAGAAGTTGTTGACCATCCCACCGTAGAAGCGCCCTTTTTCTCCTTGTCGGCCAACACAAATACGGCTCGTTGGATCGCTTTCTTCAACACTGAAAACATTGCCCTTAACCGTAGCAACTGGTGATTTTCCGTCCCATTCAATGACAGCCATATAGTGGTTCAAACCAACGGCAAATAAATTTTTGTATTTATTGCACTCTTTGATTGGTAAAATAAACGATGGACCCGATTGACCTAGAATATAAGCGAAATATACTTTGTCTTCGTTATAATCATATCGGAAGATAGATGGTGCCTGCCCAGTTGAGAGAAAATCCACATAATAGACACTTTGCGTGCAATCGTCCCAAATGGCTGCCACTCCAAGACCGACTTCAGGTGCAGCAATTCCACTTATTTCCACGCCGAACTTTCGGAATACACAAAAAATGGAGTTTCACTATTTTTATTACGATTTCCACCTTTGATTTTTGTTTACCACCAAATGAATGGAACAGATTAGAAATATCAATATTCTCCACATTTCTTGATAATACGTACACAACGAGCAACGATTGAGACATTAAATATGAAGACTACATGAAATCAAACGCTTTTTTATACTAATCCATTGAACCAAATACAATATCAACTGTTACTTTTGAGGTTTGAGTTTGCTTCAGCTGTTTATATTTCGATCAGATGGATAATATAAATATTTGATTGATTTTTTGGGATACCTTTTCTCTTCGTTCACGCATATTTATTTTTGGAGTAATTTGTTTATCACATTCGATTCAAGATATTTATGAACTTATTTTATTGGTAGTAAAAATAGTGTCAAAGAACGTTGGCCTCGTTTAAAAATCGTTTTTTTAATAATTCTCTATTTTTGAACATTTCTATAAACTGTCTGATTTGTTGACTTGAATTCAGTTTGATTGCTGTTACATATACTAAATGAAATCACAGAAAATATTTTTTTTCGATCAAGTTTATTTTTAAATAAATATTTAAGATTGATAGAATAACTAAAATTGCTGTCGCAAAGTATTCAGATCAGTTACATTTTTCGTAATGATTAATACACATTCGATATATTAAAACACATGTGTTCAAGTAATTTGAAGTTAGCGACACGTTTTTTGTTGCCTTGAAACAGAGAAAGCTATTTAGCTGCTGAGCAGGCCTGGGCTGAGCTAAATTTGCCGATTCAGGCGCCTGAAGCTTTATTTTACTAGTTTAACAATGCAAAATTTTCATTGTTTGCAATGATCCATAGGGCAGTTTGGTCTCTGGAATTCCCGATGATGTTCTGAAAAGGTCAATTTATTTCGTTATGGGCAGTAGTAGTTCGTAAATTAGCATGCTAAAACTAAAAAATACATGTAAAATGATGAATTAGAAGGGCCACCACAGAATCCCGTAGGTTTGCCTGTAAACAAATCAACTACAGCACTTGCAACAACAGCAAACAGAACGTTCTTTGCCACCGAATGTAATTCCAGTAACGCCTCCGAAAGGTAGTTTGGCCACTGGATTTCCAGATGATGTTCTGAAAATTGAACCAATAATATTTCATTATCGGTGCGATAGTTTTTAAATTGAGGAAATAAAAATAAAAAATAAATGTAAAATTCACAGGAATTATATAATATTTACCTTGGATCGATCATCCAAATTTTACCATCAACCAAGTTAGTGGAATAGATGAACCCATTGGAATCTGTGGCTAAGCCAAGAAGGTATGTATGTTCAGGTCAACTGCAAAGAGATTTTTGTATTTTTTACACTTTGAGCTAACTGTTAATCAACAAGAACATTTAAAATTAAAATAATATTGTCTTAAAACATTTTTGTCTAGAACTCACAAAGAAGTCTTTTTTCTCAACGAAAAAAATCAGAATGTTCAAAAAAATAACTATTCGATTACAATCTATCAATTATTTGTATGACCAAGTTTATTCTCAAATAAACAAGATTGTCAGATCTTATTGATATCAACGAATATTTTAGAATAATTGCATTTTTTATAAAGCATGTGTTGTAGTAGTTTGAAATTAGCGACACGTTTCATGTTGCCTTAAACACGGGTGCGACGATATTTTCGCCCAGTTATCTTTCCTCCACAACTATCAACATGATAAAGCATTTCTTTCGATTTATCCGAAGCAATGCCCGTGGTAGTTTGTGAACCGGTGAAAAGTTTCTGAACACCATTTGATTTCGTATACATGTAAAGTGATGAGTTAGTTAGAAGTTAGCAGGGCCACTACAGAATGAACTGTGGAAAGTGCCTGCATAGAAAGTTCCTCGTTCACTTGGATGTGCTACAGCCATTAGACTTGTCGGATCGTTTTCTTCAACGGAAAACAACGTGTTCAACAAATTGGCACTCATGAATCTTCCATCCCATTGAAGTACGGCGGACTGATGGCCAACGCCAACAGCAAAGAGATTTTCGAATTTAGCGCACTCTGAACTGATTGGAAGAATGTATGCAGGCGATGATTGTCCGACTATGTATGCACTGTATGTTCTGCCCTCTTCGTAATCGTAACGGAAAATGGATGATTGGTTACCAGTCGCGAAGAAATCCACCCAGTAAACACTCTGTGTGCATTCATCCCAAATGACGGATATCGGAAGAAGAGTTTCAGGTGCAGCCAGTTTGGTCACTTGCGGCTGGCTGGCTTGAGAATTTTGCGAACCATTAGGACGCTAGAAGAGATTATTAAAAATTGACTCAATTGTCAAGACATTCTATCCATTAACACCAACATTTCATACCGAAAAAACTACACCGATAACAAAACTACTCAACAAAATTGTGATTTTCCACATTTTGCAAACGAATACTTCTTTCACTTTTACCAAAAAAAAAATGCAAATCACCTGATCCGCGTCGAATCAAGAATCGAAACGTTCTTAAATACAGTCTAGATGTGCTAGTTTCAATTGATTGTGTTCTAATTTTCGGCAATTGAACTTTGATATTTGTTTTGTTATTAATTAACCCTTTGTCACGCATTGGTTCTCAAAGTGACCAGATACGGAAAGTGCCATAAGAACGGAACCGCTAGACATTTTTCCTAATAAAGATCAATTCAACATATTGTATTAGTTTGATGAAATCTCATTTCTGGAGAATTCTAGAGCGAATACGATGAATTTTCAATCTTCCTCGATTTTTTCGGAAAGTAAATATGTGATTCTTCGCTGCTTATTCCGGCACACAACATATATCAAAATTATTCAAAATTAAAAAAATGCGCTTCAAAAGGTTAATCATAGAAATTGAAAGTAAGTCAATCCAATTACGAGGTGATTGATTGTTGAGAATGAGATTAAACGCTTTAATTTCGAGTTGTTATTTAATGAAAAACGCATTTTTAATGAACTTTTAATTTTCGTTATTTGCACAAGAAATTGGCTTGTTTTTTTTGCAAACAAAAAAACTCGAATAATAAATAAAAGAATAGCACGTGTATAACGAATGGAACAAAGAAGTAATGTCCAATTGGGAACAAATACTTTGTTATCAGAAAATACGCGGCTATAAATGTGCCAATAATAACTGCGTTACGTTTGCAAGACATCAATTGGTAAATTTTGTCATCATGTGTTTGTTTATAAACTGACGCGATGAATTTTACGGCCTTTTCCCACGTTAGTAATTGCATACAACGATGTTTGACTTGGTGGAAGTTCACTTATAGCTCCTGAATCAAGATTAAGTGCAATTGATCCAGCAACAGCAAATAAAATATCTCTTTTTGGACCGCCGAAGGCCAATCCACCGATTGATGCGAACGATGGCAGTTGGGCGATAGTAGCTACCGACGACGTTCTGCAAATCGATATCAGAGTTCATTCGTAGAAAAAATAATTCTTTCTCTTTGAATAATATTAATAGCTCAAGTAATAGGCTTACTTCGGATCAATTCTCAAAATTGTACCGTCCGCATAGTTGCCAGTATAGAGAAATCCTTTTGAGTCGATTTCCAAGCCGATAGGAATGACGGAAGAAGCTGAAAATATTATGAATTTATGCAGAATAAGGAACTGAACAGAAAATAATTGAAATGTCGATAATTACTTGAGTTGCTATCATAGAAGTTATAAACAATGCTTCCTTTGCCTAAAATAAATCAGGACATTTTTTTTTGTTATTGAAAGCCAATTTACAAAATTAATCGATTTACCTTTTATATATCCGTTAGAATTCAATGGGAATCCGACGATCTGTTTTTGACACAAATCGACGTGGTAAAGTGTTTTGGAATTCTTGTCATAAGCAATACCAGAAGTACTTTGGCTGCCAAAGACGAGCTGTTCTACACCTTTCTTCTTTGTATATCTGTAAATTGATTCGTTAAGAGGTGCATTGCAGTAGTTAAGATGGAATGTTCCGGTATAAAGTGTTCCTTTTTCGCCTTGGCGTGCAGTTCCGAAACTGCTTGTCGGATCATTTAGTTCAACAGCAAAAAGTGTACTCAATAAATTGACACTCGATGATTTTCCGTCCCATTGAATTATGCCAGTAGAGTGGTTCAGGCCAACGGCGAAGAGATTTTTGTATTTGTTACACTTTGAGCTAACTGGTAGAATGAACGAAGGCCCAAAACTGTTCGATTCTTGTCCAACTATGTGTGTAGCGTACGATTTTCCTTCGGCATAATCGTAACGGAAAACAGAAAGATTGTTACCTATTGCAAGGATATCGGTGTAGTAAACGCTTTGCGTACAATCATCCCAAATCACTGAATATGGCAAAAAAGCTACAGGTGCCGAAAGATTGAATACTTTTGGTTGGGAAGCAAGTAGAGAAATTATGTACGATTGAGCGATTTGAGATGCTTGAGCCTCTGTGATTTTAGAAGATTGAGCCTTGGAAGCCTAAGAAGTCAATAAATTGTTTAAAAATCAGATTTATTACATGATTTTAAGCGAACTTTACCGAGCAAACTGCGAGATGTACGAAAACACACAGCAGAATGAATTTTTCCCACATTTTCGAATTGTGCACTTCTCTACGATAAATATGATTCAAACAACGGTTTTACGTCTATGGTCGAAGCATAAAACGCGAAAATAAAGAATCGAAATTCTTTTAAATACTGCTCATTTGAACTACTTTTGTGTTTACTATTGATTGTGTTCTAATTAATATTTTCATAACTATAACTATTAGTCAATATTTTCGATCTTGACCAATTAAGTAAGTTGTTAGTAAATATTTGACTAGAACTCACTTGACCATCTTATATGTAAGACTGAATGTTCGTCTATCTGTGTGTCTGCCCTATTTTTTTGTTTGAATTCTCGCAGCGGAAATAGGAAATTACCATATTTGTATTGATTTTTGTAATTCACCTTTAGAAGAAGTTTTTTTGCTGTTTTTTCTATGTTACTATGTCATTATTATCATTATTGAAACACTTGGTCAAAGTGATCTTCGTCGTTAAGAAAGAAGCAAGGGGCCAATGATTTGCCAAGCCAAAGTATAATAATACAGACAGGTGAACATTCAATTTCGGAGATTCAGTAGGAATAATGGAAATGACACATTATATTTTCAACTTAAAGTGGAACAAGAATACCTACAACTTGCCTTGATTTCCACCATCAGTAGCGCAAAAAATCGCCAGCAAGGCAATTTTAACAGGTTTTTTTTCTCTAGTTGCACTTTAAAATCAAAAATATAAAGTTCCATTCACATGATTTGAATGGTTTGGAGCGAAAATGTAATACAGAAAAGTTGAGCGGAAAAATGTCGATGATGAATGGGCGGAAAAGGGATAGCTATATAGTAAACTATAGTTAACTATATAGCTATCTCTTTTCATTTGACATTTTTCCGCACAACTTTTCTGTATTACATTTTCGCTCCAAATCATTCATTTAAGATGATTTGCCAGGTCAATGTATTAGAACATCGCTCGCTGATCACAGTTTTGCATTTGAAACTACACAGTTCGACGGATGGTTTTTTTTGTCTGGCACAGAAGCCGGACAAATCAGGCGCTTTAGAGGGCCAAAATTTAAGAACAACTGCGTTCTCAGAATATTAAAATTGGCTCAACTTTTTAAAATATCGAATTCGGCGTTTTACCTTTTCACCAGTATTAAAATGTAAAGAGATATTAAACAAATACCATTTTTCTCCCATTCGTGATAGTTTTATGACCTTAGTATCTACTAAGAAAATGTTTGGCGTTTGATTTTAGGGGGAAATTAGTAAAAACTATAATTAGTCATATTATAGCCAGAGTATAGCTGAGCAACACTTCTGAGCATATCAATTCGAAAAAACCCGTCCAGTCCACTTGATTGGCTCAATATCACTTTTCGCTATCAAACGATATTTTCGTGCATTTTTGAATTCCTACAACTTTTCAACTGCTTTAAATAGAACAATAGTGTCTGAAGCAACTTTTTAGTACTCTTCAAGAGCTTTGCAGGCCAAGTACTAAAAGTACTAAATATGTACTAAATATGTACTAAATTGTTTTAAACACTTTTGATGGCTCCGGGTGACTCTGGGTGACTCTGGGTGATGAAAAACTGTACCAACTCGTGTAAAATACTCTGTTTTGAACCGTAGTAATCGATGGTTCTGAAATTGATTTCGCTCACTGAATCCGTGTCCCTGTTCTCTATCATTCTTTTGTACTCGTCCATTCTAAAGCCACACCTAAAAAATCATTGATCGAATTAAATTTGATATATTTGGAACAAACATATTGAACAGTAAAGTGGACTAGATGTGGTTTTTTCGAGTTGATGCCTCCAAAAGAAATATTTAGATTTACTCTGGCCACGATTTTCCTGAAGATAGTAAGTGAAAATAACGTAAACTGTGCGACTTATGTATAAAAAATACTGAAAAAATTACCCATTTTTGGGTCAGAACATCAACCAAAAGTCATTTTTGGACAGTTTGTTTGTGAAATTCGTTTATTAGACTCATAGACTCAATAAAACAACCTTGTGTTTAACCGTATGGGAACGACGAATGGAATGAAGAAGACAAGAAATAGTTTACAAGGTATAACCAAAATACATGCGGATTTAAATGTGCCAATAATGACTGCGTTATGTTTTAACAAAAGATCATGTGTTTGCTCATAAAAGAGCGCAATTATGTTTGCGTCCCTTTCCTACGTTGGTGATTCCATACATTGTGGTTTGAGTTGGTAATTGTCTAGCTAAAGTTCCTGTGTCTACATTCAGGGCCACTGATCCACCGACAGCAAACAGAATATCTCGTTTTGGCCCACCGAAGGCAACTCCCGTAACTCCATAGGGCAGCTGTGTGATGATTGTTGCCTTGGATAGTCTGTAAAGGCACATACAAACCGTCTGCCAATCTTTTTCTCGTTGATATATTTCATTTTATAGATTTTTTTGGCAGATTTTTCAGAAACGGAAATATAAAAAGTACGAAGTAAGCTTATTTAACGCGTTCAAATCAATTCAAACAAGGGTAACTTTGGAACGCCATTACGAATAGTATTCAGTATAATAGTAGCCTATATTAAATGGATTCAGTAATTCTCTGTCATTCATCAAGAACAATTAAGGAAACATACTCAAAGTAAACCATTTTCTGGTGACATCAACAATCAAAACTTTTAATTAAATAGAACATTCGGATATTTCAATTGACTAATCTAAACATCAGCTCGTTTGTATTGTCTGCCGCTTCCATCAACATCAACAATCTTGTAGAGATGCGACTTTTGTGACATTCTTTGCTCTATTTCTAGCGTCTTCACATTGATAATTGCCGAATCAGCAATAGCATACAAGGAATTCCGATCAGAACCTCCAAACACCAGACCACTTATTCCATTCACAGGCAATTTGGCGACGATTTGCGCCCTTGATGTTCTGCAAAATGGATTGGAATTAATTTCGGAAATCATTTGCGTAAAATTTTACTTACTTTGTGTCAATCTTCCAAATTGAGCCATCTGTGTAAATACCAGTGTACAAATTACCTTCATTATCCACTTCTAAGCCAACTGGAATAAGCTCGGATGTTGACGAACCTGCGAAATTTATTTTATTCCATTGAAAATAAATCTGCCAATAGAATTCTGTTAGATAGCGAATGATGATACTGAGTGTAAATATTACCCAAATTTCTGAAGTCGAAAACAATGCGGCCAGTGACTGTGATAGAGAAATATGTAAATATTGATAAGTATTAATTAGAATTTAAACATATTTGAGCGATAAAACATCTCAGATAACTCGAATCATCTTACAAATATTTCCATTGACATCAGTATGAAACTCAGTGATTATGCGTTTGCAGGAATCGACAAGATAAATTTTCCCGGAATTGAATGCTAATCCAGTTGTCATTGCAAATCCGCCGGCCAAACGTTGAATACCTTTTTCTTTTGAGTAAGAATAGAGTGATGAATTTGCACGGCCATCACATAACTTTGAATTTAAACTGCTGAAAAATAAGCGTCCGTTTTCATTTTGCCGAGCAAAAGCGATCAAACCTGAAGGATTATCATCAGCAATATCTAAAAGTGGACTAATCACTTTGACACAATGCGATTTTCCATTCCATTCAATGATACCAGCGTATTGATTCACACCAACAACAAATAAGTTTTTGTCCTTTGCACATGCACACTCTCTGGCTGGTACAATGAACGTGGGACGCGCTTGGCCACTGAAATAGGCTGAATATTTCTTATCAGTTTTAGAATCATAACGAAAAATTGATGGTTGATTTCGAGTGGCGAAATGGTCGATATAGTATATGCTTTGTGTGCAATCATCCCACACGACTGAGCTATGCAGGATGGTGGTGGTGGTGCGTTGTAACGGTGGGAGTAACACTAGCAAAATACTTGAGTTGAGAACATTCAATGCGGAATACTGTAAAAATATTCAGAGTTTTCATTCAGTTTATAACGCTCTCAAATGGATTAATAGTTGATCCAATGTTTTCGGAACAACCAGATTTATTTTCATTATGAATTTTTTTCCAATACTGGCGGACTTCGAAAAAAATGAGATAAATATAGCTACAGAACAATCGATAAGTAAAAATGAGTAGAAATATTTACCGCACAATGGATAAAAGCACTAAGTAAGACTATGATTTTCCACATATTTCACGAATCGAACTATTTTATTAACTGCGAACGAAGCGAAAAATAAACAATGAACGCTTATCGCAAACTGTGAAGAAACGACGAAGTCGGATGTATTAAATACGATTCAGCTGAACTGATTCAATACTCGTTGGATTACTTCGAATTTTGTTGCTGAAAGTTGAATCAGTTCAATATTTGCTTATACAATAATAAGTGTGTACACACATTGCATCATGAACGTTCAAATGAAATTTTAAAAAAAACAATCATGGAACATACAAAAAAATTGATTTTTATTCATTGAAGTTGATATTGACCAATAGGTACGATATTAATATTGTATTAGAGACTTCGTGCCTGACTTCATAAATATTAGCAACTGGTGTATCAAACCCATATGTTTTAATTAATTTTTATTTCGTTTAATGTGCGAATTGATGGAATTTTTTTTCATTTTCATCTGGGGCATTGAGTATCACAAGCTGTCGAGTAATAATGAACAAACAACAAAAAGTATTCTTTACATCAAATCAAATTTTACTAACCTAAATCGCGGTGTTGTGACTGCTGACCCAAAAATGTCAATAACGGGGGTTTATTAAATTAAGTGTGAAAATAAAAAAAACTAGAAGCCAAATACGAATAAACAAAAAACAGGTGCTATTTGACCAAACTCGAAGGTTTAAATGAACCACGATTTAATAATTTGATATTGATGTGGTCAAATATTTAGTGGCATTGATTAAAAATGCAGAATTTCATTTCATTCTGGCTTATGAGATCAAAAAAAAAAACACGTACATAAAAATTGTCCAAATATTGTCCATGTTAAAATCGTTATTCGGTTTATTTTTGCGAATCGTTTTATTTAATATTCATTGCAATTCAGATGCAGAGTAAACTAATGTGCTTTATTGGGCTAACAAATCGTGTTAAAATTAAAATTTTACAGTCACATGTTCAAATGATGAGTCGTGAGAATTGTTGACCTTTTGCACCTAAATTACTTATGGCATAGAGATAACCATTTGCTGGAGCTTCTGCTGCAATCAATCCTGTTTGAACATCAAGCACTGATGATCCAGCCACACCGAACATAATGTCGTGATTTTTTCCACCGAAAGCAATTGAAGCCAATGCCTTCACGGGCATATCAATTAGTCCAATCAACGATGATGTTCTAAACGTGAAAATTAATTTAATACCTTAATGAAATAGACATATATATATTGAACTAAATATTAACTATATATCTTACCTTGGATCAATTTTCGCAATCGAACCTTCTGTATAATTTGCAACGTATAACATTCCATCTGAATCAGCCTCTAGTCCAAGTGGAACAAAGTACGGAATTCCATGATTTTGCTTAAAATCAAACACCACTCGTGCGTTACCTACAAAAAATAAATCCAAAATTATTCAGCATGCAAATGGTGTTCAAAATATTCTTCCTACAAATATCGCCCGTTTTCTCATCTTGATCAAACTCAACAATTTGAAATAGGCACGAGTCCAAATGGTAAAGTTTTCCTCCTGCTGAATTGAATGCCACTCTCGTTGTTCTCACCGCATTTCCGAACAGTCGTTGCACACGTTTTGCTTTTGAGTACATATAAAATGATGAGTTGGCTGGCGCGCTACAGAATTTTACTGAAAAAGTCCGATTTGTTCCATTGAATTATTTTAGTTTCATTTGCCAAGCCAACGGCAAACATATCATTGTACTGTTGACATTCTTTGACGGGAAAGATGTGTATCGGTTGTGATTCGCCGTCAATGTAAGCTGAGTACAATTTACCCTCATTCACATCATAACGATAAACTGAATGATTCTGACCGATTGCTTGAAAATCCACAAAATACACACTCTGGGTGCAGTCATCCCAATGAACCGACACACCAGTCTTTATATCGGGAGTCGGGTTTTGTGTTACGGTTTGACAAATCTACAATTGGATTAGGGGAATTTTGATTTTTTGACGAAAGGGCTTTTTTTAGCTTTAAACCATACAAAGAACGCTGATCACACCAATATATGGCATTGTTGGCTATATTGCCAGATTTGAATGAGAATGAAAATGTCAGTTGTTTCAATGTGCTAGAAGTTTTCAAGTCTCAATATAATATATTACACAATGTCGATGAAATTTCATTTATTTTATCATAAAAATTCACTTTGTTGGATTATTTGGCTTTGTTGAATTTTAGACTTCAAAAAATCAAACTTAGTTTGCGTAAATAATTAGAATTGTTTCATGTTATTTGTTCACTTCAATAACGACCGTTTGAATTTGAAATCTTCTATAAAGTCGTTTGCATCATACAACAAATGAGCGACTGCTTCAATGGCTACTGTGCAGCGGTACTTTTCATACATACAGTTTACGGCAATGCAAATGAATACACATCTCTGATCAGTTGTGTGTATTCTTTCACTGCCACAGAGATTTCGTGTGTGCGTGCCTGCGTGCGTAAGGAGACTAGCAACACACAACCGTAATACGTGAATCTCTGTTCATCTCGTTCGGACATTTACAAACTATACACATATTCTTGCTGGAATACAAATTCAAAGAGCCGTTATTACAGCAAACAAAAATATTGAAATTTAGATTTTTTAGTAGATAAAACTGAACCAAATTATTTTCATCGATAAGATTTTGCAAAACAACGCTATAAACAAATATTTTTCAAAGTAAATACATCTTTATATTTCTGTTGAATGTGAAATACAGTACGCCCTCGTAAATTAGAATCGAAATGTCCCGAGGGCAATTCTAATTCACGAGAAATTCTAATTTCGGAGGTTTTTTCATTTTCATCAAAAATCCAATAGCAAAACCAAAATTGATAAGGGAAATTGATTGTTTAATCAAAAACATCATAATTCTAATCATATTCGTGCGATACATGCTTATTACAAGTATTTTAATGATGATAAATAGTTTGTTTACAAACGTAGAAGAAAAAAAATGAGTCAAAACAAAACTTATTACTTATGACTGTTTGTGTTTATATAAGGAATATTAATTTTTGATTTTATTTGAAATAATC